TCTGATTTGACATGACATCTTTACCAAAAAATTGTATTAGTCCAAATATATAAAAAAAAAACCTAAACAATCAAATAAAATTAAGTGTCTCTAAAACCCAGCTGTATCCGGTGACTTTTTCAACTTGCAATGTTGTTTCTGTGCCTGCTTGTAAGGTATCTCTGTGTCTTCCAGTCCATTACCGCAGACTAGGTGGCGTGTGAACTCACAGCTCCTGTTTCCTCCAAAGCATCATTCACCCCTCCTTTCCCTCGTCTCATTTACAGCTCTATTTCACTCAGTGACCTTGAGTGTTTCATTTTCCTGGATTTATACATGTAAAACATAACGCTAAAATCTCTATAAATGTAGTTTTTTATTTTCTCTGCAAACTTTACATCCTACAATGATTTGGACATATTGTAATGAGCAAGGGACAAAAAACTATTTACTTCTTCCAGTTTAGCATTACTTGGCTTAAAACTTTACTTTAACCGGTCTTGCATAACAGCACAACAGTTTTGGTGTAAAAACAAAATTAATTTCTAAAGATGCATGGAGCACTTTTTAATCTGCAATGCTAAAGAGCTTTTTCTTCAAAAGTTGTTAAGATGGTATAATTTATTTTATTAAGCTTTCTACTGCTTGATTATCATCCTCTGCTAGAGCAGTTTAGTTTTTAATAGGAATTTCATTACACAGGGCTGGTCAATCTTGAATGAATTTGGGGTCATTAAGCAGCACTTACAGTAGTATCCATTCAAAATTTCCCCACTTTCCATACAATTCGTTTTTAAACATAAATCTTTTTACTAAACTCTTCTTTCTGTCATGATTTATGGACATAATGGTCTAAAGAGAAGCGTCATCTACTGGTCAGACCCTGTAATTCAGTGAAAGGGTGGAGTCAGAGTAAAAAAATATGCACGCCCAGGAGAAAGCGGGGGTCACTCCAGTGGCTGGAAGTTGGAGGGGAATTTGCTGGCAGTTGCAGGGAAGTACGCTGCCATTCGGCTGGTGCTTGAAGTGCTGCTACTGTAGGTGACTTAAACCAGGTGACAAAACACACCATGGAGTTTTAATTGATGAGAAAATGTCTCTGGAAAAGCACACAAAACATTTAATAAAAAACTTTTTTTTTACCAACTGCATAACATCACAAAACTTAGAAATTTTGTTTCTGAAATGACTTTGAGATGCTCATCCATGCATTTGTGTCATCATGTTTGGACTACTGCAATAGCTTGTTCACTTGTCTGAACAAAAAGCTCTAGCAGCTCCATTGCAGCTAGTGCAGCAACTACAACTAGAAAAGCCCACATAACTCCTGTCCTCAAAGCTCTACACTGGCTTCCCATTCAATACAGCATAAACTGTAAATTTCTGGTCCTGACCTTTCGAGCCCTGCATGGACAGGCTGCCGCTTACATCTGTGGCTTGATTCAGCCTCAC